GGGGTGGAGGGACATGTTTCTCTTCTTGAGCTGTTGTCTTTTTTTACTTTAGCGGGGAAGAGTGTGTGTGTTCTGAAAATGCCTCCACCAATTCCTCTTGTTACTTCTATTCCTCCTCCTCCTCCTCCTCCTCCTCCTCCTCCTCTTTTTAGACAAATTTATTGTTTGTTTAGGTATACTCGGGACAATCGAACTTTATGTAATAGCCTTGCCTGTGTATATCGGGAGAAGCTGTACATCAAAAACGGTTCAGTCAAAATACACTCTAGTAGGTTTTTTCCTCTAAAACACCCTAAACAGAATCAAAGGTCTTTCAAGGAGAGCGGAGACGTGGATGATGTGTGTGTGTGTGGAGGGGGGGTGGGATCTTTTGGAAAGGATACACATTATGTCATAGGATTTTAAACTAAACACATTGATAGTTAATCCGTCAATGCATCTGCAGAGGAGAATGTTTCTTAAACAGAAATAGAAAACAATAAGGGATCAAGATCACGAGTGACTTCTGCTATGGCCAATGAGACCAATTCTGAAAGAGAAAAGTTTGACACATTTTGAGCATTTGAAAGCTTTATTTGCACTTGTGTGTGCACAGCTTAGGGCCTCTCTCATAACTTTGGCGTTTCTTATTCGTGAAGCCTCAAAAAGAGAAACGAGTAACAAGAAACAAACAAAATCTGAACACTCAAAACTTTTCTAAACTTTCTCTAAACACTTTTGCTGACACGGCTCTCAGTCTCAAGTCTTTACCGCGTCCCGAGTGCCCGTTGTGGTTTTGGGCCTCTCTGATTTCTTCCCCGCGTCCTTTCCCTTGGCACGCTCAGGTTCCCCCCGCCGGTGCTCCAGCCTGGACATGCGACTCTTGAGCTGGGCACCAGGGTGTTTCCCGCCTTTTTTCTCGTTCTGGGGACTTCCGCTTACAGTCCCGATACCAGTTTCCTGTTGAGGGGGGGGACAGAAAATATGTTTATAGTTGGAGTAAACAGGGCCACACCGATACACTGACGGTCAATAATAAGTGTTATGAAAAAGGGAGATCGATAGACAGAAAGAAGAGAGAGAGTGAGAAATAAAAACTAGTACTGTACTTGCCAGTGCCACGCCCCAGCCATCAGCTCTAGGAGAAATACACCTGTCTGCATTCAGATAATAATAGTGCGAACATGCTGCGTTGTTGTTTTTGTAGGTGGTGGTTGTGGTGGCGGTGGAGTTTTGTTTTGTTTTGTTTTGTTTTTTCGTACGTCCTTTGTGTCTTTGGAACGTTTCCGAGCGTTATTATAAACATCACTGAAAAGGTTGGGGCAGAAGTGGGTGTGCACGTACCTTCTTAGACTAAACAATTTGAAATAAGAAATCGATGTTATAAAGGAGTTTATATAATAATGATAATACTATACGTAGCTCTCTATAGTTTTGCAACTTGAATTAAGCACAAAAGTCACAGGAGTTACAGTTTAAAGGTAAAATATATGTAGTATTACTATACAATTGTCTAACAAGCTAGTTTGTTTCATGATAACAAACGCGCGAATAGTTCATTTTAAAAATCATACTTAATTTCTATGTCGCTGATTCTGATTCGGTTCCCCATTATGACATTCTTGGACATGGATTGTTCAGAGAATTTTCAAGGCTTCCCACCCACTTGGAGACAATTCGCTACCCCAGAATTACACAGTTCTATCTGCTCAGTACCTAGTTTTGAGAAATTTGACGTTTAAAATGTTGAGTTTCACAATGGTTCAAGCCTTGTCGAAAGCAATTGGTTTAATATCTTGATAACGGCCCCGAATAATCTTACGATTTTGATAGAGCAGATAGAGTATTCGATTCCTGACCTCACGGTCGTAGTAACTCAAAACAATGTTTTTTAAAGGCAGAGAGAACTTTGTAATTCCGAGGTAGAGAATTATAACTCGGAGGCCCCAGTTACTAAATAGTCTTAGAGTTCGTACCATAAATAGATAAAATAACCTGACGTAACAGTGGATCACGAAGATTATCTCCTCCTTGCATGCTATTCGCCCACACAATGTATTCCTTTTGGACACGATCGAAGATGTTAATTTGGAGGTCGTGCCCGTTATAAAACGTCACTGTCCATAGGGGCAGTAATAACATTCCCATAAATCAGTGGTTCATTCCAACCTGGGTGGTATGGTCTCTAGTGGGCTTTTTGGTAATTTTGATAGGCTGTGGGGATCACCCGAGAAGTGACAGGGGTTGTTTGATGCCTCTCTTTGAAATACATGTAGGTAAGCGATACGAAAATGTTAGCTTCTTAAAGATAGCACGAGTGGGTGGTGGCTATAAAAAGATTGACGAAATAATATCATGACGTACCAGAGCCTTCTCGGAGTTAACGAAGACCATCTCCGCCTTGCAGGAGTCCTCCCCCCTCTCTGGCTCACGCGGCCCTCGTGGGTCACTCGGTGCTGAGTTCGCGCCACGCCCCTCTGCGTCCTGATTGGTGGGCGTCAGGGAAGCTCTTCGTTTCACCTTGACCTTTAGAGTGACAAACAGTGATGATTTTTAAAAAAGTTGAACATGGGGTTTGACGGCTTACCCTATATTACTTCTTCGTAAATTTGGTTTTGTGAGAGGCCAAAACTGTTAGGTGTCATAAAGAGGATAAAAATGTTTAAAATTCTGTAAAAAGAAATATCAATAGCATTACGCCAATAGTAATACAAGCAAACCATTACCAACAGCAACAGTAACAGGAGCAGTAACAACATCAATAGCAGTAGCAAAAGCAGCAACAGTAGCACCATCAACAATGGCAGCAGAAGCAACGCGGCAGTATCAGACAGAAGACAACAAGCCAGTATTCATTGTTCATTTGTCTAATATGCGTGTGACTGTTGGTCTGTTTGTGAGTGTAAACTTTATAATTAGTGTACACTATAGCGTGTGTGGAAGAAAGGATGGGCAAGAGAATGTGTGTGTATGTGTGTGTGTTTGTGTGTGTGTGTGTGTGGGGGGGTGTGGGTGTGTGGTGTGGAAGAAAGGATGTGCAAGAGAAAGTGTGTGTGTGTGTGTGTGTGTGTGTGTGTGTGTGTGTGTGTGTGTGTGTGTTTGTGTGTGTGTGTATATATACATGTGTCCGTACGGGTGTTTGTATGGTGAAACAGCGTTTGGATTATAAAGATTGATCTCAATTCCATCTGCAGTCATGACCACCGATATGAACTCTTACCCTCCGTTTGCTGTTTTTGTCTCTCGTCGTCTCAAACGGTTCGGGCGGTGTAGGGGTCCGCGGAGGTAGGGGATCGCCGTCTTCGTTAAGAAAAACGATGTTAGCGTTCCCAGAGCTGATGAGGCAGTCACTGGCCTTTCGACCTCCCACGTTTGACCTGCGGGATAAACATACATAAAGAGAATTTATATAACTGAGGTTCTTTTTCAATCCATAGTTGTTACAGGAGTGTATACTAGGACAATGAGTTTACATGATACGAGAATGAGAAAGCTTTCCTTTGGACAATTTCTGACAATTAGTTTGCATGTCAAGGCTATTTAATTGAGCTATTTCAATATATTCAACAGGATATAATTTAGAGAATCTAAAACAAAAATGAGTAAGCTTAGTAGTTTTCAAATAGTTGTAAGTGTGAAACACCTGCATCAACACTGTTTAGAAGATATGGAGGCTGGCTGCTTCGCACCTGTCTGCTAAAGCTCATCGAGGCGTTCTCTCTCACTCTATTTCTCTCTCTCTTTCTCTCTCTCTCTCTCTCTCTCTCTCTCTCTCTCTCTCTTCCTCTCTCTCTCTCTCTCTCTTTCTCTCTCTCTCTCCCAATCTCCCGCCTCCCGCTATCCCTCTTCTTCCAATCACAATAGAGCAATCAATGTTGAACTGATATTTTATACCAAAAAAAAACAAAAACCTATACATTTATGTAAAAGATAGCGGTTCGATTCTTAAGGGTTCGATTTATCATGTGTTGTTTGTCTTTCCTATTTTTTTCTTTTCCTGTGGGGGGGGGGGGGGGGGGGA